ACTTGAGAATGAGTAAGGGTTGGAAAGCCCTAAGCCTTAGTGGCTAACCTCAATAACGTGGACGTAGGCAAGTCTTGGTGGCGAGCTGAACCATGGGATAAATCATTGTCTTTTATGCTTGATTTACATTACTTGCATGTCATATTGTTGTTGAGTTAATTTTTAGGGTTTCTAGTCGATCTACTTGTGTGTGGTGTCCTTACAACTTTTAGCTTTTTATCTGTGACTATCATACCTGCAGTAGGCTGAGAAATTTCTCCGATCTAAGTTTCTTTTCACTGATTTTGAATTGTGACTCGAAGTTGTCTGCAGGTGCGACAGTGCCGCTGTTATGGTCCGGCAGTGCCGCAGTCCGACAGTGCCGCTCTCTAGAGCATTAGTGCCGCAAGATGAATTTAATAAAAATTTGAGTGTTTATTTTAATAGACCTATTTACTCCCCTCTGGACCGACCAGAGATCCTACAATATATGAAGACGTGAACGACACAGTTATTGTGCTAATTCCAAAAAAAACAAAGATGTAAACGAGCTCAAAGTCTACAGACCAATATGAGCATGAGACGTGAGTTTAATTCAAAGACAAGACAATAAACCAATTAAGACTCTTATCTCTAATATATTATGTACTGCTATTTTATTTATTGTAAAACCGGCTTGAACTCTTGTACTCGGAAGAACAGTGTAACACTTTGGAAGAGAGTGCAATGGATGAAAATTTGAAAGAAAAAAATCACTTTTTAATATTGGATATAGATAATACATAGATGATGTTAACTAGTCTATCATTTAGCGCTAATCGGCCTGTTCGGCTAGGATTATTCCCTCGTAAACGATCGTAAATTTCCAGCCGGAACAGTATTTTTCTCTCACACCAAACCAACCAGTGGTACTTCTTCACAATCCAGCAACGAATAAGCCTAGCCAAACGAACAGGCTCAATGTTTTCTTTTACCACTGCATTCTTTCTCAGTCGCATCGTACGAATTAACCCTGTACATGGTCCAGTTTAACCGGTCTTTGGTCAAAACCCGGCCCAAGCCGTAAAAGACGCTATGCTTGCGGTTTGGAACCCGCGGTTTCATGGTTTCCACGGGTTAGAATTTTTTGGCCGTTTGGATCCGATGAGCAAGTTCACAAATCATGTATTACCAATGCGTGTATGTGATATAGAATTATAGATACGTCTGAATCAGGAGGAATCGAACATCTTCTTTTAGTACTCTTGGTCGTCGATCCTCCAGGGCGAACAATCCGAGTAGCACACCTACGACAGCGACGGCGGCGGCTCAGTGTGGCAGAGCCATAGGGCCAAACTCCGCCCTAGCTAGCAGTTAGCTTATCGCCGCCGCATCGGCTGCCGCGATCTCATTCCACATCCGGTCCATGGTGGAACCTTAATTAGTACTCCTACGGCTGCGTCTACTCATACGTGGTCGCCGGCTCGCCGCCGTGGTGGTCCTGGACGCCTCCTCCAGCTCGAGCTCGGCATCTCTGTAGCTGTCACCGCTGTTGCACCGTTCCCACAGTGATGACGAATCCGACGAGGATGACGTGGCCGTGCCGGGGGGACTTAGATGTCACGATGGACGAAGGGGACGGCGACTCCACTTTCTCTGCCACTGCCGCCGCCATAGCAGCCCTTCTCTCTCCTCGAGCACCTTTTTCCTTGTCCGTGTCCTCCAAAAGTTCTTGATCTCGTTGTCTGTGCGCCTCGAGAGGCTTCTGGCGATGCGCGACCACCCGCTGCCCCACTGCGTTTGGAGCAGGACGATCAGGCGCCGATGCGGTGGTGATGCTACGGTGGCCATATCGCAGGCGGCGGCTATTTAATCAGCTGCTTGAGGAAGAAGACGGGTACACGCGGTAAACCGTGAAAACAAACCAACCCGTGGCCATATCGCAGGGCCCACTACATGGTTTGGCTTGTGCTCGTAGTATACGGTCGTAAATTTCTAGTCGGAACAATATTTTTCTCTCACACAAACCAACCAGCAGTTCTTCTTCATGAACCAGCAACGATACGAACCAGCCATGCGAACATGCTGATGGTTTGTTGTGGGCTGGTTCACGGTTTGGTCTGGTTTGTAACCGAAACATATACAGGGTTAGTACGAATTTATGCATTCGCCACTCGCCCACTCCCAACATCTTGCAACGTTCCTGGTCTTTTTTTCTTTCCCGTGGCTTCAATTTGGATTTCTCCGTTCCAAATAGAAACAGCCAATTCCAATTTCCAAACAGGCACCCTCGTGTCTAGTCGGATCGTGATTAGCAAAACCGCCCGTTTGGCTGGGGGCAGATTACGGGTACCGAACAGCCGGGTTCCACCACCAACCCAACCGCGTGGGAAAGGAGAAACCCTACGGCCCGGAGCAGCGCTTGGGAACCGCGGCACGCGAGGCGTCGACGCCGTTGAGCTCGAGGCCACCGGCGGCTCGCGGCCCGGCCACAGCGCCGCGGCCACAGCGCCGCTGCGGCTTCTTCGGGTTCCTGTGGCTCAGCGCGGAGGTAACTACAAGCCGCTCGCACCTTTGCCTTGTCCCTGCTCTTGCGGCCCCCGCCGTTTAGGCCGCCTTCCGCGCGGGTTTGAATCCGCTGGGGTCTAGATTCAGGTGGGTTAGTGCGACTCGATCCGATGAGTCTCCGGATTCGATGCGGCGATGCTGATAAGCGTTTGCTGTCGAGGCGGCGGCTCGCTCCGTGCTCGTTGGTGATGTCGAATCGGTGGTTGCTAGATGTGGTTTTGTTCGTGCGGTCGTGCCATACACAATTCGTTCGATTTAAATTTGTCTCGGGCTTATGAACTGGGAGAGTCTGTTCATGGAATCTCTCTGTTGCTGATAAGTAGCAGGTGGAGTAAGATCTGTGCTTCGACTCTTCCAATGCACGGTTGCCTATGCAGCTATGCTGCTCGACTCTATTTGTTCCTGTCATCCGAATTTTTGTCTTACTGAAACTTAATCTTAAGAAAGCAGCAATGCTTGCTTACATCTCTCTTTTGTTGGGGTCTTGAGTGTTTTGGTTAGTATGTCAGCTCGCACGCACTCACGAATGAAATGGAAGCGAGTATCAATGTGCTTATGTGTTCATCGATCATCAGAACCAGGGCCGAGCCGGCAAAAATTGGGGCCCTGTACCAAACTATAAAATGAGGCCTTATCTCTTGATAGACAGAATTATAGTAATTATTATAAATTCTACATACATATCATGCAAATGTATTAATCTCTTGGAACACGATAAATAACCATATATATGAAGGATAATTATAGTTTATAATATAATGATTGTTCGAAAAAACATTAGTTCATATAATGTTATGAAGGACAGTAGAATTCAAAATTGGGGAAAAGATTAGAATTATCTAGTACTCTCTCCATCCAGAAACGAGTGCAATTTTAGCACAGTTAAAAGTTAAAATATCTCAAGTTTGACTAGCTATATATAAAATACATCAATATTTATGATATCAAATAAATATTATTAGATTTTTCACGAGGTATACTTTCATAATATGTTTATTTGAGCATTAATATTTTTTACTTATATATTTGGTTAAATATATTAGACACTTTGTACTCCTGACTCATATGTACTCCGTAGTACGTAGTATCAGCTAGTTTCCAGTGCTAATACATGATGGTAGTTTATGCCATGGGCTTGAATTGATCCCCTAGCATCTAGCTAGGCGTAGCTGGTAGTCACTAGTACTAGTTTGCATGCGCCTGATGACAAACTACCGTTGTGATGGCTGGTAGCTGATACATCAGGATTTGGGGGGCCCTAAAAATCATGGGCCCTGTTCCCACGCACCACTCGCATGCCCCTTGGCTCGGGCCTGATCAGAACACTAGAATTTTCATCTATTCTATGGTCGATTTGTTGGCAGCATAGTCCAGAGCAACTTGCTCAGGCTTCCCTCCTATCAACATACTTGCTAGTCCTTGCAGCCACATGGCTTGGCATGCTGCTGCCGTAGCTGCCATAAACCCAGCATTGCATGATGGAAGTGCATCCTTTTAGGTTTATTTTTCCATAGCATCATGCAGGCAATGCTAAATGTATTGTCTATAGAATGTTAGTAGGTTATGGATGAGACATCAGTTGAAGATAACCTTTTCTTTTGTACATTTTTGTTCACCGTATGTAAATGTATGGCATGGGAAAGATATGCTAACATCGCAATCTGTCATGCACTCATGCTTCCTTCGCTTTTAGCATGAATGAATAGATATAATTGTATGTTTCTTTCTCTGCTAGAGAATACTGTTAGGTTCTGGTTTATATGTTAGCTGTCTTGGTACCAATAGAACTGACTTATTCCAACAAGAATGCCATGTAACCAGCCATTGACTTGATATAGAAGTGTTACGGTTCAATCGTGCTTGTGTTAGAATTTCAGTACTGAATTGAATGTGGGTCTTTTCTTTGTCTTTAGCATTTTATCCATTTTAGTTTTAGCTCCCTCATGGCCTCGTCAGAGAAATACAATAGATGTTTTCTGACCTATTGCAGTTTTCTTTATAGGCCTATTGCAGGGTTAAATGGCAAATAGAGCAAGATGGATGATGAAGTATGAAAAGGGTCTTGTTGATATACTTCATGAGAATAATAAAAAAAGGGCGTACCCAGTGCAGAGAGCTCCCGCTCTGTGCGGGGTCTGGGGAAGGGTGTCAGTGGCAAGCCTTACCCTCGCCTGTGCAATGCGAGAAGACCGCGACTCGAACCCGGGACCTTCCGGTCATAGGCGGTAGGACTCTACCGCTTGCACCAGGCCCGCCCTTCACTTCATGAGAACAATAATTCACATTATCGTACCCCAAACGGTTGGAGAACAGAGAGGTGGAGAAAAATTGTTAGGGATTTCACTGTAAGGTACCCTGAAGCAAAGTTTAGTAAATCGCAAATCCAGGAACGTGAGACTCAATTGAAGAAAGACTATAAGGTGATAAGATCTGTCCTCCAACGTGATGTTGTCTCATGGGACCAGAGTGCATCCATGGTTAGAACAACAGATGAAATCTGGGATGAGATAATCGAGGTGAGGGCTTAGTTCTTCTACTCTTATCACATATATATGCAACTGAGGTAACTTAAAATTCTTTTAAATTTTGTAGGATATGCCCAAGGCACGGAAGTACCAAAGCAAGAGCTTTTCATTGCTTGACTCACTTGAGCTGTTATTTGATGGTGCACACTTCCATCCACCTCACCGGGGGCACATGCATAACCACACTACTACTGCTGGAAAAGGCTGAGAAGAACTGTGCTATACACTGATACCTTTTGTTTTACTAAAATAAATATGTTACTGTGATAGGTCCTATTCCTGAAGGGGGACAGAAATCGCCTTCCAGCATACCTCAGAATGTTGGTGGAAATGTTGACGACGAGGGCAACAATATCAGCAGTCCCAGGCTTTTCTGAAAGACCTAGTGGTAACAATAGCGTTAATGAGGCATGGAATAATATCAGCCTACTTCAGCAAACAGCATTAGGACCCCAAGGTATAGACGATCTCGACATGCTGCAAAATCGTGATGAAGAGGTGCTGGAACAACTACATCACGGTGCGGACCCAAGGCCACAGAGAGCTGATGAACAGGCACAGTCAAGTTCTTGTGTAGAACTGCAGAGAGACAGGTGCAAGAAGCGGAAGGTCCCAGACATCGAGCATATCATTGAGACCTATTTGAATTTCAGAATGAAGCAAGCTCGTGTCAAAGAACAAAGAGCAAAGGATGCTGATCAGTTCACGATTTCAAGCTGTATCAAGGCTCTGCACACCATGGCCGATGTGTCAGATGAGGTCAAGGTATTAGCCTCTGATGTTTTCAAGGACGCTGAGAACAGGGAGATCTTTCTTTCCTATGAACCCAGGCTGCGCACCTTGTGGCTCAAGAGGGAAGTTGGCAAGCTACTCTCCTGGTAGTGGTCTTAGGTTGGTCCGTTGGTGTGGAGAAATGGCTGCCCTTGCTTGTTCTTGTTTGTTGTGTCAGTCAGAATTCGATTCTGGAGGGAGCTATTGAAGGCCTAGGCTTCATTAACGAACTCTATTAGTGTTGTCAAAAAAAAAAAAAACGAACCCTATTAGTAACTTTAACTTGTTCCATGTGCAGTACGTCACTGTGCTTCCTGAAATGTAGTCATTCATGACCAATGATGTGCTTGCGGCGTGTAGTGCTTCCAAAATTTTGCATCTGTGCCAATACAATCTGTTGAAAATGCGACAGAGTTCTTGTTCCTTGACAGCAGAAATTTCTCCCATTTTACTCAAGAAAAGAACCAAGGAATTATGTCCCAGAACTATAACTGAGCGTCACTAGGAGTAGGAGACTAGGAGAGGTAAAACCACCATGATACCTGCCAGATAACAATGCAGATTAATGGACTGCAAACCATTCGCCTAAGATTTGCAGTTTGAAGCTCATATGAATGAGAACAAGATTGCAAGAACAGGTGGGCGATGGCAACAACATTTTTCACCACATGCTCTTTAGGCCCTAGTCCTGTTTGGATGAAAAATATTTTTAAGTATTGAAGAAATGCTACGATTTTACAAAGTACTTTGGTTTTCAAATGCTACTGGGTGTTTAGATACAACAAATCTTATAGTCTCTACAACCATAGTTTTGTCAAAACTAGTCTTTTTAAAGTTTTAGGAACTCCACTCGTGGTCTCTTTTTTTGAAACCACAATTTTATGCCTCTTTGGCTTATAAAACCATAGTTTTGTGATACCCCAATTCTCAAAAACTGTCATCCAAACAGGCCCTTAGTCTGTAGAGCCACTCACTACAATATCTTTCTCAAGCACAAAGATGATTAGCCAATTTAATCGGATCGCTGACACAAGAGCCATTCCATCATTCTAACAAATTGCTGCAAGGTCTGTCCGATCTACCTTGAGAAACGCAGGTGCCCATTCAGTTCATACCCGCATAAGGAAAACACACCTGATCAAAATGGTTCAAGATTGGAAATGAATGAAAGAACCAATAGGTTACTCCCTCCGCCCCAAATCATAAGTCATTCCAACTTTCTTCAAGTTTGACCAAAATTACACAGAGAATTGCAAAGATTTATGACATCAAATAGATTTACTATGAAAATATAATTAATAGACTCCAATGATACTTATTTGGTATCATAAATGTGATTATTTTATTATATAAATTTGATTAAACTTAAGATGCTTTGGCTCTCTATTAAAGTTGAAATTACTACAATTAGAGACAGAGGGAGTACTTCATTGTTGGCAGCAACCAGGAGTCCAGGACGAGCAAACACCCAACATTCACAAACGAAACAGCTCAGGGTGATGATACTTGAAAGAAACAGAGCCAACGCATGTATTTTCAAAAAAAAAAAAAAAACCAGGGCCAACGCATGTGTTCATAATATTTTTAAGACACACTTTTCACTCAATACAAACATAGTTAAGGCTTAATTTAAGTCTTATATAATATCTTGGAGATAAAACACTTTCCACCAGTACAAAAACTAAGGCTAAATTGAAGGCATCTATGTCATTTGCTAAACTAGAATATCTTCTCCAGCTAAATCAAATGGTCATGAGAGCACCAAGCAAAGCTTTGAACTTTTAAGTTTTGTACCACAAATCATGTGAGTCCACCAAACAAATTCTAGGTCTGCCAAATAAGGCAACAATTCAACATTCAGGGACACTAGGTTTGACAGACACTGAATACAAAATAAATTGAAAAGCACAATTAGAAATTTATAATGCATATATGTAGCTGAACATGAATTATGGTGTCCAGACACAAAAAGCTCCATGCACACAAGGCCAAGCTAAAAAGAGTCAGACCAGGGGGGAGACGTCCACCTGATTTTGCCCTTAAGTTTGTGCCAGCTTTCGAACCTGGACTGGTGTGACACGGGTTTCTCGATACCCGGACCTCAACATATACCCGGACTTCAACAGTCTAACCAGTGTAGCACAGGAGAAGTTGGCAATGGCAACACCATGCCAAGCTCACATGTAGAAAGCTTGAACTGACAGTGTAATATGAGGTTAACAGGTAACAAGTTCCTTTGATTGCCCTTCAGTCAGAAATAATCACTTTGTTGTTGTTATCCTCAGTCAGCAATTTAAAGATTTGGTTGCATATTACTTTTTATATGTTGAGTTCAAATATTTTGAAATGATGCACACAGATTTTTTTTTCCACACCGGTAAACCGAATTTCATTACCGCAGCAACGAAATTACAAAGTTCAGTTTGTGACCGTCTAACCGCCTGACATAAACCAGACTTTTCCGTTCGAACATATGAACGCGCAGGGAACATATGCAAGAACGCACTCTCCCAGAAAACAGCACAAAAGCGCCAAAGCTAAAAATCCACAAACAAAGCGTCCCATTACAGGGGCACTAGCCCAAGACAACGCTGCAACAACTAGAGCCTGCCCTAAGCAGCAAATGTATGCACACAGATTTGTTCTGAAATTTAGTTTAGAAGAAGTATACTCTTGCTATATTCTATAAACATATTAATGCAACAGGAAGTACTAGTCAAAGCTGAATACTGGAGACCATGTTGATACCCAAAGTCACTAGTCAAATGGATAAGACATTAGGTTCATGGTTAGATACATGGATATGCACAAAATACACAATGAACTAAAAGATCAGGCTAAGGAAGAAAAGGCATAATATAATACCAATTTACAATATGATTTCATCCCTTCTTGCCTTTAGCAGAATAATAAGAACACCAAGACTGGTAAGTAGCAGTGAAATGTCAGCCAAGAATAGCTCCATTTTAATGCTATGTGCAAAAGATCAGGTCCATAGTAAAAGTAGAGAAGCCCAACAAACAAACAATGCACAGTATTAGAACCTACACTCAGCAGATCAAATCAAGTACAACCAACAGATAAAGAGAATAGATAATAAATCCAAAACAAAGAATGAGATTGCAAATACCTAAATCTAATGTCTAACATTAAATAAACAACAGTTACCGCTCAAGTGCTCATATACTTATAGATACAAGGACATAACAGTCACCTTATATGGCATATATATTATCTCACAAACTGTAAGCAACAAACAGTCCTCTCCAGCAACATATGCATCACATGCAACGGGAACAGTAAAAAAAAGCTGAGTTTCTGGACAAGTCTATATGGATTCAGCACCTATTCTGATATTCACATTTCTTTATATCAAAAGCAGACAATACGCAAAAAACGAGCATATCTGACAGTAACATGCAATGGGTAGAGCTACAACATAGAACTAGTATAACCCCTGGAGTCTAGTAACTTGGACCCATGCTACAAGAACGGGATAGCCGCTTTTCCATCTCTCGTCCAGTCCCAACTGCTGCTTTTGCGCCACCTCCACCGCCGCCGCCTTCTGCTGCAGAAACTGTGTTGTATTGCTTCCTGCAACCTGGGCAGCGCCCATCTTCCAACTTGATCCTGTTGTGGCAGAAGAGGCACACGTGAAACCCACAAGGGCAGGGGCAGAAGCTCGAATCCGTCGGGTCAAGATCATCGCAGCAAATGGGGCATGACAGCGGCAATGAAAGAATTCCCTGCTGCACAGCACTCATTCCCATCTCCGGCCAGCGGTTACCAATGCTTGCTGGGAAGCTGGCCTGCTTGGATATGCTGGGTAAGCTCTGTGGTCGAAATATGTCATCTGGTGCCCAAGCCCTCGTCTTGCTTCGAATCAGTTCTGGCCTCGCTGCATGGGCAGGTGCTGCAGTGGTCAGAGCTGGTGGGGGTGTCAGTGTGGGACCTGAACTCTGGTTACAAGAACTGTCATCGACATAAAGCGCATCAGCAGCCATTTCCCAATCATCGAAGACTTCACTCTCATCCTCAGGGCCGCCTGTATCCTCCTCAGCATCACTCACACTCCTTGAGCTGGACCATACACTGCTTCCACTGCTGAGGCTGCGGCCACCGCCATTGCCAGAGAACCCCTTCCTCTGAGGGCAGTCACCACCTTGGGACTTGTCTGAGCCTGGGGAGTCAAGGTCACTGCCGTCTACCTCAAGGCCAGCAGCACCGGCCTCCTCCCTGTCCTCCGGATCACTACCCCTTGATCTGGAATCAACCCGGCGACGAGGAAGTGGAGGGTGCGGGGAAGCAAGGATGGGTGAGCCAGCATTTGAACCTGCTCCTGTTGGCGAAGTTGCAACCTTGGCATCATTGCCATCATTGCCTGGACCAATCCAAAACGAAAGAATATATCAGATTTTAAACGAATCCACAACAAAAACACAAACTTAAACTTTACAGCTAAATCATCCCAATCAACAAACAGATATATATCATTCAGAAGCAGCACCTGAAAAACAAAAAAAAAAACAAAAAATCCAGAACTATGTCTCAGAGAAGATCATAACGTACTTCTCACAGAACAGATCATAACTTGTATATAAATCCTTGATCCGACACATGGAGAGATCAACTCCCGCATACACACCACTGCCACTGCCACTGCCACTGACGAATCCCCGATACAAAGACCGAAATCCCCAAATCACAAACACATATTAATACAACGTACAGACCAGGCATAAGATCAGACCTTGCCCTTGGACAGAAACTGCCGCGGCGCGTCTCTCGCGCTTGCTCTGCTTCAGCTTCGCCGCCGAGCGGTTCCCCTGCAAGGCGCACCCCGGATAAAAAAAACACAGAACTCAGATCAGATCAGCAAGCGGCGGAATCAAATCAAATCCAAACCAACCGGGAACCCCTCGCCCCGAATCGAACCAGAGAGATCACCCCGACCCCAACCCCAAAGGCGAACAACCTCTTACCCTCTTCTTGGCGTCGCGCGCGGCGGCCGCCGATGCGGGCGATGCAGCGTCGCTGTTCCCCATCACGCCTTGTGGTGAGTGGCGGCGGCGGATTGCTGAGCGGCTGCCGGGACGGGCTCGTCGACGCGCGTGCGTTAGAGGGGAGCGAGGGGACGGGGGAGCAGGAGGAGCGAGAAAACCCTAAAAAGCGATGCGGCGAGAGGCGAGAGGCGAGAGGGAGGCGGAACGATGGGTGGATAGATAACACGCACACGAGGGCGGAGTAAAGGAAAGAGAGGACGAAAGGGAACGAAATCTGTTGGGCCTTTTCGTTTGGCGTCCGTTGCAGTTTTGATCCACAGCGGCGCCAGGCAAATGACGGGATTACCCTCTGCTGAGGCCTTATTCACTTCATTCATCCCTTAAGCATGGCTATTGGACTGAGGAGGATTTTGACTCGTACTCCCTCAGTCTTGAAACATTATGATTTATAAAATATGTAATGAAATATAGTGCATTATATTATATATAATAACCATACCAAAATTTGGTAAGTTCAAAGAAAACTAGTAGGGCGTGGTGGTATCGGAACGATGGTGTCGGATGGGTTAGTCCAATCCACTGACGTTGCCACGTTTTTTAAATCTTTACTAGCATATGTACACATACGTTGCAAAAGAACCCAATACTATAGAAGTTGGATTCTGTATCATTGCTAGATGCCTAGACGTGAGTTTTTAGCGCATTTCATGAGTTCTGATCACATACGAGATGCAAAGGGCGTGACCCGATAGTATTAGAATCGAACCTTGTATCTATTGTCACTAGTTGTGAGTTATTCTAATTCATATGAGTATGGGTCGTAAGTACTGATCAAATACAAAAGGTAGGATGGAACAAAATCTCCGCTATCCAGATAAATAGGGGGTAGATGAAAAAATGGGAAACTATCCAGATAGGTAGAGTGTGGATGAAAAAACGAGATGAAATTTTAGCTAAGACGGAAGAAACTATCCATTCTCAAGGTAACTAGAGAAAGATGGATGATGAAAAAAGAAAAAATTTGGCTCTTGAATAGATATATATAGATTATTAAGCTGACGAGGGGCGTTTCTGTGAGGATCTTATCTTTGGCTCGCGGTGAATGGTGTTTTTGTTGTTGTCTTTATTTATTTATGAGAAAAGGCGTGGCAACGTGCGCCGCGATTGCGACGTCGCGGGTCGTTGCGACCATCCGTTGGTAGATGGCCGGCGCCGAGGATTTTACGAAGAGCATCGATTCCGAAGTGGAGGTGAGTCGAGAGAAGGTGCTAGAAGCTTTAGGTCCTGCTCCTCACGACCTCACGTGATTACGCGACGTCAGAGCTTATATATGTTTCTCTCCCTCTCTTTAGAACGTAAAGAGTTTATTCAGCTGATGGTTTTTGCGGCTGATAAGTCGGCTAAAGCTGATTTATTGTGAGAGAAAAACAATGTACCATGGCTGATAAGATAGGCTAATAAGTTCAAGCGAACAGGTGAAATGTCCTAATGACTAAAGGGGGGTGAATAGCCTATAAAAATTTTTACGACAACACTACGCAAAACGGTTAGACAAATATGAGGCAAAAGAAATGTTGCACTGGCCTACTAAGAATGGAAGCCACCTACCACAATTCTAGTTGTTATTGTCTATAAGCACTTAAAGGCTATTGAAAGCATCTAGGTCCCTAGTTGGGTTTCGGTGATTAATGACAATACAAGATTACTATGACTAATGTGTGTTTTGCAGAGGCAATTAAGTTAGGTCATGGTAATGAAGATCGATTGGGCAATCAAAGTTGTCATGCCCCCTCAATGGAAATCATTTCGGTTTTTAAAGGATGGACGACAAGGCTAAGGATGACTAGTTCTAAGTGTCGATTGGAGTTGGAGAGACACTTAAAGTAGTTTAGGACTTTGTTTTTCCTTTGACCGTACTATTAAGGGGGTATGGATGGGTAGCTTGACCTAGTTGAGTCTAGTGAGTTAAGTGTGGTGCACACTTGTCAAAACTAGCTCTAGGTAGCTTCTATGAATGCCTAAGATCCTTTGGAGCAAACTTCATTCACATATGTTCGGAAGTTGGAAGTGAATGGAGGGTCAAACACTGACCGGACGCTGGCCCCGGTGTCACCGGACGCTGGCCGCAGGGTCCGGTCAGTTCGTTTGATCAACGTCTGCGTTCGGTGTGACCGGACGCTGGAGAGGTCAAGTGACCGAACGCTGAAAGGCAGCGTCCGGTCGACTCCAGAAAGGTTCCAGTGAAGGGAATCTGCGACCGGACGCGTCCGGTCGGTACTGACCGGACCCTGAGGGTTCAGCGTCCGGTCGAGTCCAGTAAGGTTCCAGTAAGGGTTTTATGCGACCGGACGCGTCCGGTCAGTGCTGACCGGACCATGCCAGCGTCCGGTCAATACATTTTTACTAGTTCGCGGGTTGAACTGACCGGAGCGTCCGATCAACACGACCGGAGCGTCCGGTCACCTCGTAGAAGCTCATAACGGTTCGTTTTTCAGGCTGCCTTATAAATAGAAGCTCCACTCTTGTGTGGAGGCACTTTTGCTCATTCAAACAGCTGAGAAACACATTTGTGAGTGCCAAGAAGAGCAAGGTCCTAGTGAGGTGATTGAGATTTGAGAATCCAAGAGAGTAGCCTCATTAGTGAATCAAGAATAGTTAAGTGTGCATCCATCTTCTCATTAGGCTTCGCGTGGTCAAGTGAGAGTTCGTGCTTGTTACTCTTGGTGATCGCCATCAGCTAGACGGCTTGGTGGTGATTGGGAGCTTGGTGTTCACCCGGCGGAGCTTGTGGGTGACCCAACTCAAGTTGTGAGCGGCTTTGGGTGATTCGCCGCGACGGAGTGTCGAAGAATCAACCCGTAGAGAGCACTTGATCCTTGCGCGGATCAAGGGGGAGCTACACCCTTGCGCGGGTGCTCCAACGAGGACTAGTGTGGAGTGGCGACTCTCCGATACCTCAGCAAAACATCGCCGCGTTCCTTCCTCTCTCCATTTACTTTGAGTATTTACTTTAAGTATTACTTTGAGCAATTCAATATTTGTCCTTACATTCATAGAATTGCTATGCTAGAGTAAGTTTGGAACATAGGTTGCAAGTCTTTTGTGCGTTAATTTGATAGAAACACTTTTCTAGGCACAAGGGGTTAATTGGGCTATCCGTAGGATTTGATTATTGCAAGAGAATTTAAAATTAGCCTAATTCACCCCCCCTCTTGGGCATCTTGATCCTTTCAATTGGTATCGGAGCCTCGTGCTCACGTTTTTAAACTTAACCGCTTAGAGCAAGATGTCTCATGGGGATGGACCTCCTCCTATCTTTGAGGGGGATGATTTTCCATATTGGAAAATTCGCATGGAGGCTTACCTAGAAGCTCTAGATGTTGGAATTCTTAGGGCCGCCTCTCAAGGGTTCCCAACACCTAAGAATGGCGCACAACTCCAAGGCGATGAAGTAAACTATGAAAAATGGAATGCAAAGGCTCGCAACACCATCTTTAGAGGCCTTTGCAAAGATGTGTTCAATCGTGTAAGGAACCACAAAGACGCCCATGCTCTATGGTCGGACGTTTGTGCGCTCCATGAGGGAACCAAGAGTGAGCGTGAGGAACGCTATCATCTTGTAATTAAAAAGCTAAATTCTTTTGAGATGCTTCCCAAAGAAAGTGCTAATAAAATGTATTCTCGTTTAAATGTTCTTGTAGAGGAAGTCAATGGGCTTGGACTTACTCAAATGTCACCATCCGACGTTGTGAGAAAGATCTTAAGTGTCCTCCCCATTGACAAATATGGGCACATTGTGACCGTGCTACATCAAGGTGATCTTTCCGCCGCTACACCGATACAAATCTTAGGAAAGATCAATTCTCATGAGATGTATATACACATCACACCACAAGATGGCTCATCCTCTATAAAGAAGAAAGAGAAAGACTTAGCATTCAAAGCTAGCCAAGATAAGGGCAAGGCAAGACTTGAGTATGAGAGCTCAAGTGATGAAGATGATGAAGAAAGTCTTGCTCTCATGGTGAAGAAGACCGCCAAGATGCTAAAGAAGCTAAACAAGAGTGGCATCAAGTTTGACGGCAAGAAGAAGAAGTTCTTCACTAGCTCAAGAAGAAAGCCAATCTCTGAGATGGATTGCTATAATTGCGGCGAACTTGGCCACCTAGCTCATCAATGCACAAAGCCCAAGAAAGATAAGTTCAAGAACAAGGGCAAGAAAGATGATTCAAGTGATGAAGATGAAAAGAAAAAGAACAAGCCATACAAGAAGAGAGATGGCAAAAAGAAAGACTTCTACAAGAAGAAGAAGAGTGGCAAGGCTTATATTGTCGGTGATTGGCTCACGGACATTGATTCATCAAGTGGATCATCCGATGATGATAGTGACAATGAGAAGGTGGCCGCCATTGCTATTGATCTTGCATCCTCACCGCCACCATCGCAATCATCCTCTACACACCTATGCCTTATGGCCAAGGGTGAACGCAAGGTAACTAAGAGTGATGATAGTAGTGATGATGAGCAAGCTAGTGATGATGATAGCGATAGCGATGATGATTCACCCACATATGATGATCTTGTCAAAATATTAAGAAAATACACTAAGATCATTAGAAAGAGTAGAGCTACAAATGAAAAACTTGATGCTAAAAATGATTCACTCTTAGCTAAGTGTGATACATTAGAAAAGGCTAATGATGAGCTCAAAGAAACAAATGATTCTATATCATCCAAACTCAAGGAGCTCAAATCTTCTAAGAAAGAGCTTAAAGATAAACATGATAAACTTGAGTGGGTGCACAATGAGCTTATCACTAGTCACAACAAGCTAAAAGATGAATATACAACTCTAAAGATCAATTATGATACCCTTGTTATTGCACAAGAATTCTTACCAAATGAGCCACATGTTGCTACTAACCATGTTGTTAAGATTGATATAGCTACCTCATGTGATGATTTAATTGATGAGAGCATTGAGCATGGATCTAGTAGCAAAGGCAAGCAAGTGGTTGAGTGCAATGACTATGATGAGTATG